AGTATTCAATATTAATAGTAGTTTTGTTCAATAAGTATTTTTTAGGTTTCTTCAATTTTAATTTGTGATTCTAATTCTCCAAAAGATTATTTATTAATCCAGTAAAATCGGATGGTTCTATGATCAAGTTCGGGTCAGGTTCCAGTGCCTTCGTTCTTACATGCTGATATTTAGACCTCACGTTCATTTTTATCATGTTCGAGACCCATTAACTGTTTGGGATTTATAAAGCAACAGTCTGCAAAGTGATTAGTTTCTCTTAACCCTAATCATTAGCGAATATAGAAAAATTTTAGTGTATCTGTAAAACTCATAAATTTCTCTCAACAGGATAAGGGCGATGACTGAGGCAGGACTCTTCCTCCAATGGATGAAAAACGCCGAACCAAACTACACCGTGTGTTATCATGCACCTGCAAAAATCACAGTTGAAACGCCCCTTTCTCTTAACAATATCTGGGTAATGAAGTTGTTTCATGTCTTCTGATATAAATATATATAATTGATTTCTTTTTTTAACTATCAAAGCTCTTATCTTCTCATTAAAGCCTTCACGAAGAGTGATCGTCTTACCCACTAATGGAGTAATATTTACTGTTTCAGGGAATGTTTGCTGTCTTCATTTCCGGTCACGCTCTTAGTTTGCTTGTGTTCTTCCTAGAGTTCCTCATCACCAAAATTAATGCAAATCTGATAAATATACCCTTAACTACTGACGACATAAATTAATTTCAAAATTGTAGAGCTTGAAAAATAGTCCCAAATGACCTGGTTTGGACTACATCAGAGAAAACTTAAGTGTTCCTTAAGTGAGTGTAGAATACAAAAAATCATGTTATGTTTAGTGAGAGAAAATAAATGCCATTTGCATGTGTTGACAAGTTTTTACTGTTTACAGTGGTTGAGTGGGAATGAACAATAAATATACGTGAAATATTTGCAAACTTACATGTGGAAGTACAATACATTTCTCATAAAAAATAATTAGAAAAAAGGCTAAAAATATATTATAAAAATTTTTAAACATGGGAATCAGTCATGTTTCCATTCATACCTTCATTAGTAATGATCAGTTTTGAACGTCCCGGTAGTTTAAGTGTAAAACCTTTTATACTATCCTGCAAAGATCAAAACAGGTCTTCACTCGTTTAAAAGATTCTGTCAAGTGTAGTTTTAAGTTTATTTAAAACTTTTTACTAAATAAATATTGAGAGAATCCACAACCCTAGATTCCACGAACAATGGATTCCAAGTCGTTTTAAATGTACAATTCTTTTTTTTTTAGCATATTATGTCTTAAGCATTACTCTTAGACAACTCTTTAGTTCAGTTGTACTTGTTTTATATATGTAGTTTTAATATGAAATATAATAGCATTTAAAACATATAAAGAGAAAGCACTGCAACTGCCGTATGAACTATGCTAGCAGAGTCCTACTGACACAAAATCTTTGAATCTTGTGTATTTGTTTTTTTATTAATTCACAATAACTGTGTAGTTTATTCCACATAGCAACATCAATTCTGCCATGTGCTTTGATATTTTCTTTAATGTTTAGTTAATGTACTGTATCTAATAAACAATAACTCTTTCACACTTTGTAAGGTTTGTGAGAAAATGACCACTGGACACGGTGCCATATGCCTCATCCTGCCTAAAGAAATTAAAGATTTTTTTTTTAATTTTGTTATAGTTAGATAATTATATGGAATTACAGGATAATATAAGTTTGTGTGTGTGTGTGTGTGTGTGTGTGTGTGTGTGTGTGTGTGTGTGTGTGTGTGTGTGTGTGTGTGTGTGTGTGTGTGTGTGTGTGTGTTTGTGTGTATGTGTGTATGTTCATAAATATAAGTTCGTAATATAAGTTTGTGTGTGTGTGTGTGTGTGTGTGTGTGTGTGTGTGTGTGTGTGTGTGTGTATGTGTGTGTGTGCGTGTTGTGTGTGTGTGTGTGTGTGCGTGTTGTGTGTGTGTGTGTGTGTGTGTGTATGTGTGTATGTTCATAAAGTCAAAATAAGTTAATTACATATACAATGGAACCTCGGTATTCGAACTGATTTCGTTCCAGAAGGCTGTTTGAGTGGCGATCTGTTCGAGTACCGAACCATTCTTTCCCATAAGGAATAATGTAAATTTGATTAATTAATCCATTTCAGACCCCCAGAAATACACTTACAGCGACTTTGCGGTGTATTTTCGTATGGTATTTATGATTGTTTTCGCATTTTCTTAATCTCATTTAATAGAATGAAAGATATATTACAGAAGTAGAGATAAATTTGAATGGTTTACAGAATAAATGCACCTTGAAATTGAGCTCAAATTAGAGGAAATGTTCGAATTTTGCTGACGTTCAATACACTTCCAATACAGTCAACTGTTGGGTCTAATATGCTTTCACAAATGCGCTGATAATATTTATATTATTTTTTCAACAATGTAGTAGTCTGCATAACAGTAAATCTTCTATTTTTTGTGAATAAAAATTCAAAATGGAAAACAAGGATAATATAAGAGGGTCCCAAAGTGAGAGGAGCTACTGGAGAGGGAGGGAGGGGCCAGCAGAAGGAGCATTCAGTATCTGATGAGTCGTCTTCATAGCCGGATACTAGCGGTAGTGTAAATACAATGTTGAGTAATTTCGCAATTAGTAATGAAGGTTATCTATCACATTTATTCCAGCTTGATATCAGAAGCATGATAGATAACCTAGAAGCACAATATAGAGGCTAAAATTAATATAAGACATATATGGAGAGGCGGAGGCTGTGTTTACATCAGGGCAAACACAATCTAACCAATTTTCTTTTTGGTTGACTGTTATCAGAAATTTTCTTAGGCCCCATGGTGACTTTTTTATACAATATAAAAAATGCGAAGAAACACGAATTAGTTTACTGTGAAGTTCAGCTGAGTTTTGGACTGAGCGACAGCTGCGGGGAGACTTTTTTTTTGTTTGTTTGGTCGAGTGCTGAGCAAACCGTCGACTACCGAGTGATTTTTTTTACCCAACAAAGCGTTCGAGTACGGAGCTGTTCGAGTACCCTGCTAGCAAAAGTGCAAGTGACAATGGATTGTGTTGCATTATATTACTAAATAAATTTTATCATTCATAAAATTGATGATTCTTTCGAATCATCAGATATGTTTAATGTTGGCTGTCAGATATTCAACACAGAGTATTGATAGACCGACAGCGTATCCAGCAATAAGGATGACGAACATTCCCTGAAAATAGCAGTAAAAGTCTATTAGAGGAAAGCCAAGTATCAAAAGTGTATGCATATATAATCATAAAATCTATTATTTTATTAAAAAAAATACTGCCTCTGTAGCTTCCAAAAAAAAGCATTGCTTGTAATATATTACCCAAACATTACTCATAGCTAGTCTGGTCTTGACTGTGATCTTGGTCGGGGCGTGGTTACACACAGTGGAGTTCGGGTCTGCAGATTTCATCCACTGGAAGAACAGTCCAGCCTCCGTCATCAGCATAATTCTGTAATGACAAATTTAAATATTATATGTTCATGCAGTTATTACCATTTTAATTATAGGGAAAATTGTTCAGTTACAAATTGTATTCATCGTGGGTAAATAATTTGAACACGGGTAGGTAATACTGACCGACAGAACTTAACTGAAAAGCTTCACTATATTATAGCTAACACTGGTCTGCATTTGGAATCTTTTTAATTTTTATTTTAATTCACGGTTGAGATCTTACAAATTCTTGGGCTGCTGATTGTAAATATCTAAACCAACTGACTCTATCACGTAAGAATTTTGAATAAAATACAAATTAGTGATAAAAAATGTGAAGTTTTAATAAATTGTTAATTTATTAAAATTAGACAAGTAATCATGGAAAAGAGCATTCTGTTAGTTTTAAGAAAATATGAATTCCAAATCATCGTGAATCAAATCAAATGATTTTATTAAAAGAATATGCTCCTAATGGTTACCCTACATATTGAATCAAAGGAAGGAGAACCGATCTGATTTTAGCTTGTGCTGTGCATCGAGACCATTACGTTTCAATGACCAGCAGTAATCTGCCATCATGCTGACATTACATTTGCCCTGGTATCGAGTTTCCGTGGGGTAAATATCCTGATGGAACCGCTCTTCTTGTTCCTCACTGTAGTCCCCACAATTGTTGGGAAAATAGTTAAGATGTGAGTGCAAAAGTTCATCTTCACACTCATTCTAGACCCAAGTTGGTGGAAACTTGAAATCAAGTCTTGAATCATTTTATCATATTCGGGGTAGCGCCTGTTTCTCAGGAAGTTGTGAACAATCTGCTTGAACGAAAACCAGACATTCACCTCGACACCTGCTAATGCTTCATCAAAATGCTTGTCCTTCATCAATTCCCGAATCTGAGGGCCAACAACGATTCCCGCCTTTAGCTTGCCTTCACTTATACGAGAAAACTTTGACTCCAGGTACTTGAAAGCAGTTCCATCCTTGTTCAAGGCCTTAACAAAATTTTTCATAAGCCCTAATTTGATGAGGAGTGGTGGCAGCAGAATTTTCTTGGGGTCAACTAGTGGCACAGTTTTCATGTTGTGATTTCCGGGTAAGAACCTGGTTCTTGGTGGCCAGGCTTTATGTTGATAATGCTGGTTGTCTGCCCTACTATCCCAAAGACACAGAAAACAGGGATACTTGGTGTAACCGCCTTGAACACCTAGTAGGAGAGCAATAACTTTTAAATCACCACAAATGTGAAAATTGTGTTTCTAGTACTTGATTGCAGATATTAGACTCTTCATATTAGCGTAAGTTTCTGACATTTGGACACTATGACCAATTGGCACAGGTGCAGCTGCGTTGCCATTTTAGAGAATTACAGCCTATAAACTTCTTTTAGAAGAAACAATGAAGAGTCCCCACTCATTTGCTTTGTATGATATCCCTATGTGTTCAATAAGGCCAGAAATATTTGAACAGAAAACTAAAGATTATTTTTTGTCAAGGAACTGAGTGAATTCTGCTTCACGATGACGGTTTCAAGCGAACGTTGTTCCAGGAGCTAGAAGCCTTTATTCCTTCAGTCTAGAGCCAAGTAACTGTGCACGTTCTTTTGGAAGGTTAAGATCTCTCAACAAGCCATTGAGCTCAACTTGGTTGAAAGGTTTGGGATGGTCACTGGTATCAGACTGATGAAATCTGCCATATCTCTGGTGGCACAGGTACAGGAATGTCTTCAGAGTATGGAACAAGCCTTATTGCTGAAGGAATATTTGGGTATATTATGCGATCTTTAGTCTTCTTGTTGAATCCAGCTACTTTAGTAATACAAAAGTAATACAAAAGTAGCAGTCATCATGGTGATTCATCTGCTTCCGCCATTCTATTGGTACTCCAAAGTTTTCCAACTGACCACATTTGGAGCTTACTAATGCAACTCTTGGAAGCCTTGTGTGGTGCGAATGGTTTATCCTGGTCTCCAAGTTTGCAGCCAAAATAAGCAAAGTAGTAGCGCTTCAATAAAGGAGTAACGTTGCTTGGAGAATCTGAAAGTGGAAATTGCCTTTCTACTTCCAACTTCAACAGTCGCCGTCTGGTTGAATCCTCCCTAATACGTAACTTTCCTTGTTTGAATTTTAGTCCTGGCTTCATCTCAGTAGATGCCTTCCTCTCCCACTACATTGTAAAATGCTCCAAACTTCAGAACAATCGTTACCTAACCTGATTCCTCCTTTTTTTTCTTCTCCCTCTTCCACTTTCCTCTTTCCTTTTTCTCCATTGGGTTGTCTTTCTTCTGCCCTGTGTATTTGTTCCTTCTTTATTTATTTATTTGTTTTCCCCCCCTCGATGTTCTTGCTCCTACCCTCTGTGGCCACCAGCTCCCTTGCAGTGCTCCTCTTTCTTAGTATTTGACTGGTCCTCCTACTCTTACTACCTTACCACTACTACTTCTTTCCACCTCCACTACTACCACCTCCTGCCTATATATACCCATCATGCTCTCCTTTTCGTTATTATGACTTTGTAAATGGTCCAAGTCGGACTGAAACGTCGTCGTAAGCTCCTCTCTTTTATGTGCGGGTAATTTGTGTAAAGTAAAATATATCTGGTGAATTTATGTAGCCTCTAGACATATTAATAATCTGAAAATGAAGAAAAAATATATTAGATTTAACATTTAAGTCAATATAAGGTAACCATTTTAATTAGTAATGCCACTTTCTCAACTACTTATGTTATACGAAAAGAGAAAAGTAACGTTTCCGTATAACTTGACAACCTGATGTGATAGAGATTAATAAAAAAAAAATGAATCACTATTTTCCATATGTATACCGAAAAGATACCATAGAGTCAAAAATAAAAGCATGCTGACAAGCGTAATAAATCACACTCTATTTGACTACTTAATGGGAGTCAGTTTGGTAGTTAAATTTTGTTGATGCATGAAGTATGTAAATATCACATTAAAATAGTGTTTATATTACCAATGAAGTTTTCTATACTGTATATAAATTTATGTCAAGCTTAAATGTGTAAGACACAGGCTCAGCCACTTTGATGAGGGGACATCAGTTTTATTTGTTGCAAAAGTTATTGCTTAGCGAAAACTTTTATTTACCTTCAGATGTCTTTAGTGAAATTTAGTCCCTAATGTAATTTCCCTAGAATGTAGTTTCAAATTTTCCATCCAGAAAAGACGAATAAACTCATAGACAAAAGTTAGATTAATTATTTAAAATGTTTTTATAATAAGTTTTAAGAACAGAAATTTACGTGATAACAATATAAGTCTAATGTAGCAACACGCTGTGTCAGTATTGCAGATTGTTGATGTTCTGTGAAGCGAAGATATTCATTGAGAAATATTAACGTGGATTTCTGGAAGGAAAGTTCTTCCTTGCAAATTGGTTGTAGTTCTAATATGTTGCAAATGAAGAACAAAAAAATTGATAATGATAATAATTTGAAGTATTTAAATGTTGACTAAAATTTATCTAGATTTTATCACACAAAATTTTATCCTCCAAAAGCTCCAGCTTTTCATTATTTTGAGATTTATTTGGACTACCAGACAGCTGAAAGGCTGTTGTGGAAATCAAATTATTCATATCTGCATGCAAACTTAAAGCTACTTTATTCAAGCAACATTAGAGAGAACTTCGTCTTGGTCCGCTATCGACTCTTCAGTCATATTCTTTACAGATGAATTAGTCGTATTTGTAGCATTAAAGTTATAAGCCTTCGATGCCGACAGGTTGCTTCAGTGACAGAAATAAAAACTTATTATCACTAGTTCGGTGTGTAGGTCCAAGATCATGACAAACTGTGAGCTCATCAACTCTGTTGTGTAACTTACTCCAGCTCCTTGAGTAATTTCATGAAATTTTAAGTCATGGAAGGAACCAAAGGTTTACACCATGGATTATGTTTGTGTCACAAGAAAGTCAGAAATTTCATCAAAAATCAAATTCAAAATAACATATAGATCTTTCCTTTGCAATCAGACTACGAGAACATTCAGAGATTCTCGTTGTTCCAGTACAACCATTCTCGAAATATGTTTCTCTTGGATGATGAATAAACCACTAACTCAGATTCTGAGTTTGAATCAGCTGCAGTAAACAACCAGGAGTGACATCCAGAGTAAAAGTGACCTAAACGATCTTCAGCGCAATTTAAATTTATCCAAGGAATAGCCAGAGCTATTTGGTGCAAAACTACGCTAGTGGAATTTAATGAACTCTGACGCACGAAACAGTTTGGAAAAAAGTAGAAGAAACTCTTGAAACTTAACTGAATTTTGGAGGAATGAATATGTTACTGTTGCGATGCTAATGGACTTTTCAATGCTTATGGTAAACAGTATGATCTTGTAATGATACGTTTACTTATTGACTCCAGCAAACAAGTCTGAAGGCAATCATTCCTCACACTGGCAACATTCTACCAAGTCTGCCTTTACCTCTCGCTATGGACAGGAAAGAACCACATATGGAACAATCCAAAAGAGAATTGGTGGAAAATCTGTGGTGGCCTTAATGTAATAGATTTGCTACTTGTAGTGAAAGGTGTTTTTATGAAGTACTGCTGTTTCCTGTACCTGTGGGACATCGACATAAAAAACAGCACTATTTTCAACGTACGTTGTCAACTCATTGAGTCTGGGGTGAGAACGTTTAAATGAAGCCATTTTTCGATCAAAGGGACATAATTCTTCCGCCTTTACGCATTATAATTTAAACATCAAGTTTTGGACAAATAATAGGAAGAATTAGCTCACATTAAAAAAGTGGTTTTCCAATGTTACTAACGCCACAATGATGGTACATATCTTCACCGGAGCTCTAATTCAGACGTTACTATTTGACCATATTTTGGACGAGTTTCCGAGATGTTGAGCTGAGAGCATGACTGGCACTCAGAAACACATTCACAGGTTTCTTGGGCACTCATCATGATGATTATCGTAAAAATATTGTACACGAGCTACTGACAGCATGTTATCTACTGAGATGTCGATGTCTCCTTAAGATTCATTTCTTCTATTCTCACCTTGACTTTTTCCCGCATAACATCTGTAATTTAATGAACTATTTCATCCAGCCATTATGAGGAAGAGATGTCAGGGAACCTGACGATCAGTTTGATGACAGAATAATGATGGATTCTGATTAGGTATAGCGAAAATGAACACGAGTGAAATAGCCTGAAAACTGTAATGAAAATATATTCGCATGTCTGTATAAAATTTTTATTAGTTTTCGTTTGCATATATACGTAATAAATTTGTATTAAGAAAAAAATCTTTATATTATTGCATACTCCACACTTAATTTTTTTGAATACTCAGGCCGTCTCCCATCAAGAAAGAATGACCCGAAAAAAAGAAAACAATAGCTATTGTTTTTATATTTATCAATTTATACAGGAGAAGGGGGTTACTAGCCCTTTTCCAGCATTTTAGTTGTCTTTTGCTACAAGTGTTGCTACTGAGGAAGTATAATTTTTCACTCCCAAATATCCATCTACACTTAATATGTTCACTATATAACACCTGTGACTGTTGGGAAACATTTATCATCAGTTTCTTCAACAAAATTTCTTCATATAATTTCAAAAAAAACATTACGTGATAGAGATTAAATAAGTTTATCAAAGTAAGTTTAAAACAACCATTGTGTTTTCCAAACTGGAAAAAATAATATTTTAGGTTAATTTAACTAAACATGTCATGAATAACATGAAGATCTGAGAGATTGTTTTCTACTTCTGGTTCTGCATGACTGTATGACTGTATGACTGCATGACTGCATGACTGCATGACTGCATGACTGCATGACTGCATGACTGCATGACTGTATGACTGCATGACTGCATGACTGCATGACTGCATGACTGCATGACTGCATGACTGCTGACTGTATGACTCCCATGACTGCATGACTGCAGGGAACGGGCAGGGACTGCATGATCTGAAAAACATCGATCAGTCGGCATCGTGCATTTTAAAAAAAAAAAAAAAAAATCAGCATAGGTAAGCAACATTTATTATCAATATTTCAATTAGTTATGGTTAAACCAATTTCCAATTATGAATCTATTTAAGTTCTCTTTTTTGTGTTTTTGTGAATGGTTTGAAAATTTTAGAATGATTGTTAAACATTATTTAAGAGACGATTAAATTTTGATGATCGTGCTGAAAACTTTTGCTTACAATTTCTCAAGGAGTTTGATGAATTGCATGACAAAATATGGATATAAGATTCATTTTAAATTCACGAGGCTGAAGGGATCTGTTATATTTGTGAATTTCACATTAAATTTGGTAGTGCTAGAACAAGACAGAATGACTTATAAGATACATGTATTTTTAATGTTCAGTGCACGTTTCAAGTATTTTCTTTATATACTTCTCTTATATTTTGCAGTTACTGATGCCTAAATAAAGCTGTAAAGTCTCAGTGATATTTACGGTATTCAAAGTCACCCATAAAATTTCGAATATAATATTTTAAGCTAAATTTATTGATTCCATTATCATGAATGACATTTCGAAAGTGAAATCTGAAAAGGAACTATACTGAGGTTGTTAAGAACATACTCAATAATTTTGATCAACAGCGTATACGTAAGACAAAACAATTCTAGCATCAAAACTGCCATCTTTATGATCCCTTATATATCCTAGCTCTACTTTCCACTGTTTTTACAAGGTTACTTTCTATATAATTTACCTTTTATTAAGAGCTGGGATGATTGGATTGTCCAGAGGGGCAATCATACCAAAGACAAAAGGCAAAAACGTCTCTTTCGAAGCGTAAAATGAACATTCGCCTGAAATAAACAAATATTATATACATAATTAAGTTGAATGAATATATCAGAAAAATAATGTCAAATAATTCGATGCATAAGTTATTTATAAACGAAGATAATGGATTCCCCATAGCCATACCATGGTTTAAGGCATAGTATTTTCCCTAAAATACGAATTTCCAATCGACTTCAAACAGTTTAATTACTTCACTGATAATGTTCTCTAGGAATGACATAGGGAACTTATCCACTTCACCTTTCAAATAGGATAACTGGCACTCGCGTTAATAACAGAAATATCAAAACTTATCAATGTGAAATCATTTGAAAAATTCAGATTATGCAGTTTTTCCATAAAATCTACTCTGCTTTTTTTAAACGCGTATACGAGATGTTACTAACCATTGGGGTTAGTAACATCTCGTCGATATACGTCGTAGACGCAGCGGAACTAATAATGAATATTGCTGGAATTCTTGGCTAATGAGTTTTAATGAGCACACACATATATAAGATTATTATTATTATTATAATCAAGGGGGAAGCGCTAAACCCGGAGGATTATACAGCGCCTGGGGGGGGGGGATGTGGAAGGCATTCAGGCTTAATTCGGGGAACTGGAGCACAGATCCAATTCCCTAAATCAAGAGCCCCTCACACATATATAAGAGTGTCGCAGGTCTAGCTGACAGTTGTTGTGTCAGTTCATCATTACCTTAAGTTAATTTGTAATTAAGCTATTTATAAAACATATTGTTAACTTGGTCGAGAGGGTTATCAATGGGAATGTATGATCTGTGTCCTCTAGTAAATTCTTCATGTTCTCCAAACAGTCTATCTACCTTGTCCATTACTAAATTCGAATTTTCTGCATTTGTAAGGTGACGTCTAGAATTGTTTCATAATTGTTGATATAACTTTAAACACCCCTGGGGGTGTTTGCACATGGTGATTGTTTCCGGGGTTAAATATGCGTGTTTTTCTAAATTACTGAAAGACTTAGAGAGATCCACTTAGCGTCTCCTTTTGTTGGCACCAAACTTAACCTATTCCTGAAGGCTGTTTGGTGCTCCCGCTGAACACAATTTTTATTGATAACAAAATCGGGTTTAACGTGATGACATCATCCACTCTGTACTATTAGGGTGTACCATTAATTTTAATCCCTTGTGTACATAGTCCGGTAAACGATAGTGACATCACTCTGGTACCGTGTTTAAATATATATTTTCAGCTCTTCTTACTTCAACAAATAACATCTTTCTTTCGCCTCTTACTCTATCAATATTCTTAGAAAAGAATAAGCTATGTCGATGATAATTCAGGTATATACAAAGTAAAAGAGTAAAAGACACGAGAAAAGAGTATTGCTTCTTAGAACAACACGAAAGGACATTAAGTGAGTCTATTTTAACTTTTGACAAGTGATTAGAAAAATGACATTCTGTTTATTACCATGCCTGCAGCGCTTATGGATTAATCTATCTTTTTCTATTGCTCTTAATATATATATAAAATATATATATATATATTTATATATATATATATATATATATATATATATTTTATATATAAATTTTTATATATATATATTTTTTATATATTATATATATATATATATTTTATATAAAATATATATATATATATATATATATATATATATATATTTATAATTATATTTATAATTTTATATAAAATATTTAAAATATATATGCAAAACAACCCCTTGAAAGAATAGAGAAAATTCCAAGCGCTTTCGTGACTACTCACATTATCAAGGAACTATGATAATGTGAGTAGTCCGAAAGCGTTGGAATTTCTCTATTCTTTTAGGTGGTTGTTTTGCATATTTTGAAATCACCTGTTTACTGTGATCTTATTGTATATATATATTATATATATATATATATATATATATATATATATATATATCTATATATATATTATATATATATATTCAAACACGTCGGACGCTTCCTATTGAGGCAGGGTGACTCAAAATGAAAGAAAAACCGATAGGAATGAAAAAACTTTCATCATCATTCAACACTTTCACCATCACTCATACATAATCATTGTCTTTGGAAAGGCGCTGAAATACGACATAAATATGACTCAGACTGAGTCATATATTAGCTGGTACCACCCCGCTACCATACTCTGAAAAAAACTTATCTTATATCTCCCTTTGTTGCCCTTGCAACAAAGGGCATTGTTAAAATCAATCAGGACAGGCCAGGTGTCGAATGAACTCTTTAAATAAACACGTCAGCTGTTGCAATCACCCACCGGGGTGGACTGCCGCCCTGATAATGGTACCAAACAGTTTCACCACAGAAAGAAACATAATTGAGTCCTCCCTCTTGAAACATGATAGAAATGCCGTATATAACTCAAATTATGGGATGTTCAAACTCGACAGTTATTTAATGGAGTATATTGTGCACAGCCTTAAACAACAATGTTACACAAAACGCAAGATTAATCCTAATGCCAGGGGGGGTTTCGTGATGTTTCGGTTATGTTGGAACAGGCTTCAAACTGATCATCGTACTCCTGTCGTGAACGTGGATATATATAACATCTTTTCAAGTCCGCCGTGAACGTTGACATTTAACATGTTAGGTCTGCCATGAACGTCATTATAAAACCGGTGGACAAATTGAGAGATTTATTTCCACTGTTTCATTAGTTAGAAGGTTGTAAATGTAGGCATATAAATGATCCTTTATTGAAATGTAACTTTTTGTGTCACATGACCTGTCTCCAGCGTTTAGAAGCTTAGGGATGACTATTAACTATCTACTAATTATTTTAATTCATGATATCTACAAACTGTGAGGCTACTCCATCCGACCCTATATGGGGTGAGGTGTGGGGGTACTGGTATGTGGTTGGTATTCCGCTTAGACTGGTTGGTGCCACCGCACTACCATACTTTGAAAACTTACCCTACTTCTCCTGCTGTTGCCTTTGGAACATTGCACAGCTCCTGATGACGCACTGAGAAGTGTGAAAGTACTTGAGCTAAAGATTTCCACCCCCAGTGGCTTGTCTTGCATATTATATATATATATATATATATATATATATATATATATATTATATATATATATATATATATATATATATATATTATATATTATAATATTATATATATATAAGAACATAAGAAACATAAGAATGTAGGAACACTGCAGAAGGCCTACTGGCCCATACGAGGCAGGTCCTTATCAAAACGACATCTACCTAAAGCTACTCAAGAAATAACTCCCGTACCCCTTGACACCAATCAAACCCAGCCCCTCCCACTCATATATTTGTCCAGTCTCTTCTAAAGCTACCCAAGGTCCTAACCTCTAACACCCCACTGGGAAGACTGTTCCACGATCTACAACTCTGTTAGAAAACCAGTACTTACCTATGTCCTTTCTAAATCTAAATTTATCCAACTTAAATCCATTATTCTGGTTCTTACCTGGTTCGACACCCTCAGTACTTTATTAATGTCTCCCTTGTTTATGCCCGTCATCCACTTATACACTTCAATGATATCTCCCCTCATTCTACGCCTCTCCAGAGAGTGGAGATTTAAGGCTTTAGTCTATCTTCATACGGAGGTTCCTTACACAGTAAATCATTTTAGTCATTCTTCTCTGTATGGTCTCTAATGAGTCTATGTCCATCCTGTAGTAAGGGGACCAAAACTGAGCAGCATAATCTAAATGAGGCCTCACTAGTGATGTATAGAGCTGTAAAATAACTTTTGGACTTCTGTTACTTATACTTCTTGAGATAATCCAGTAATCTGTTGGCCTTGTTGCGCACACTGAGGCACTGCTGTCTTGGCTTTAGATTTCTGCTTACCATGACTCCCAAGTCTTTTTCACATTCTGTATGACCAAGCTCTACTTCACCTAGATTTATAGCTTCGAGGGTTATTTTCATTACCAAGGGCAAGTACCTTACACTTATCCACATTAAACTTCATCTGCCATTTCTCAGACCAAGACATTAATTTGTTCAAATCGTCCTGGAGTTCATTGATATCCTCCTCAGAGTGAATTATACGGCCTATCTTTGTATCATCAGCAAACTTACTCATGTCACTAGTAATCCCTTCATCAAGGTCATTAATGTAAATTATGAACAAGAGAGGGCCTTAAAACTGATCCTTGTGGAAACGCCACTAGTGACTAATCCCCATTCAGATTTCACTCCATTAATGGTAACTCTCTGCTTTCTATTGGTAAGCCATGCCTCAATCCATGCTAGAACTTTACCTCCTATACCATGAGCTGCCACTTTTCTTAAGAGTCTCTTGTGAGGTTCTCTGTCGAAGGCTTTACTAAAATCCAAATAAACAATATCATATTCCTTATCACTGTCAACTGCCTCAAATGTTCTATTGAAGAACGTCAGTAAGTTTGTCAGGCAGGAACGACCTCTCGTGAATCCATGCTGAGATTCATTTATCAAGTTATGCTCTTCAAGGTGACTTCTGATAATGTCAGCTATAATTGATTCTAATAACTTATATATGTATATATATTATATATATAATATATATATATATATATATTTATATATATATATATATATATATTATATATATATATATATATATATATATATATATATATATATATATATATATATATATATATATATATATATATATGTGTCGTGTCGAATATGTAAAACTGGTCAATTAGGCAGGAACTCATTTAAAATAAGTCCTTTCTAAAATTTTCTTTTATGCGTTTAAAGATATATTTTTTTCATTAATGTTAATGTAAAAAATTTTAATTTTGCACCAAAAGAATCTTAGAAAACTTACCTAACCTTATTATAACAAGAACAATTTATTTTAGCCTAACCCAACTAAATATATTTTAGACTTGTTTACAATAATTTAATACTAAACAAACACAGTGAAATATATTTTTTCGTTAGGTTCAAAATGATTTTGGCGAAATTATTGCATACACAAATTTTCACTTGTCCTATATGGAAAGATGAACGTTGCTATTTAAGCCAGTATGGCAAGTTCTGCCTACTCGGCACGACATATATATATATATATATATATATATATATATATATATATATATATATATATATATATATATATATATATATATATATATATATATATATATATATGTATATACAAAGATAATCAATAAATTACCTGTCCTCGTAAAGTCCTGAGAGATCAATGCCTTCATGGCATTGTCAACCTGTATTAGGACGTGGTCACCCTGCTTCACCAAAGAGTCCATAAGTTCAGGAAACTGAGCTTGTGTTCTCCATATAAGACGCCCGGTCCTCTCCGCGTCGGCCATCTCACGATATAAACCTGATTCAGCTGACTGAAAAACTATAATCCAATCAGACACTTGACTTACTGTTTAATGTCAATAATTAAATTTGTGTTATTAAAGTTCTTTTAAAATAATTTTAAAGATGAGATTCTTTTTAATCACCTGCAAAACTTCTTCCAGACCGGAGCCTACCATCCATATCATTGTAACGGAAGTGTCATCCAGCACCTGTTGCCGGGACTGGTAAGGCTGTGCTATGTGTCTCACTGTCAGGAGGGCCATAAGGTTGCCTGAGTAGCTCCGTGTTAACACTAGCGTTCCCATCATCCACACCACCAACAATATACGTTCCCACCACCAGTACACCGGTACAGACAAATCTGTAGCATTTACCGGAAATGATCTATGTTAATATGAGTGTTAATCATTTTCCACATTTTCATCACCTCCAGTTCCCTCTTCCATAAATACACACACTAACCTTGCTGCAATAATATTCGTAGGTAGTCGAATATGACCTGTAACCAAATGCCTTGAACAATGTACTTGTATGAGAACCACAAGTTCATGAGAAATATTGCGGTCGCAAGCACTAGCATCACAGCCAAGATGGCCGCCCACACCAGCGGCTCCAGAGGGAATATGAAACCCCAGGGGTCCTCCTCAGGAACACCTCGAGCACCCAAGATCCTCCAGTAGTCTACAAATATTGAGGCAGTGAAGTCCACTACTTCAGCTCGATCTTGACGTATCATGAATGGGCCAACAGCAATGGCGACTTCCTGCATTAAAAATCCCATACATATTTACAATATTATAAATCCGTGAAGCATTTTATAACTAAATTTCGTATCCAGCTGAAGTAATAATAAAAGACAATTACTTTAAACATTCAGTTTTTAAGTTTTCTGATTTTAGGGTTTTATACTGAACTCAGTTGACAGGTGCACAAAAAATGGGAATATTTTATGCCCTAAATTAGGGATTTAGGGAATGAACCTACCTGGTTGGGTTGTAATCCCCTGAAGCTAGTTGCAATCACCATATTCTAGTCCCTGACTAAAGTCGCCTAACCTCATCGTACTTGTACCCATATGATACCCTCATGCAGCTGTACCTAAAGGGCTTACCACTATTCGATATATATTATATTATGACAACGGGCTAGACAACCTTCCATTGCAGGAGAAACATGCAGTAAAGGTGCGGAGAAGCAGTATCTAATGTCACCAAATCTTCACAATCCTTGGCGGCATAATGAGCAATCCTGGGATTTTGTATAGCATTGTTGCTTAAGGATGTGCACAACAAAATTTACTAAATAGCTATCTAGTTTGTTCAACCCGTAACTTGAATTATATTAGTCATTCCTATCGTGTTTCAAGAGCCAGGGTTCAATAAAGATCTGAACAGCAGCCCACTCTGGTGGGTGACTACAAGAAATGACAAAGCTGAAGACAGCATTCGACTCCTGGCCCGGCCTCATTGAGCATAGATTGCATGAGACGTCGTAACCACCGCCAACCCACGCCGAATTTGCCGAACAGGAAGAACTATAAAAGTTGGACTATTCTAGAAATTATTATTTATTCATTAATAGAGTTAATTTTTCATTGAAAATGATGTAAAAAAAAATTCTTATCAAAACTAACTTAGAAACCACACCAAACCTAACATATGGCAAAAACAAATCTTTATTCTGCTTATCTGGCAAGATAAACTCATCAGTTTGATAGTAGGTTGGTAGACAGCAACCGCCCAGGGAGGTACTACTGTACTGCGAAGTTTGTGTAAAACGAAACCTGTAATTGTTTTACATGATGGTAGAATCGCTAGTTCTTTTTTGTCTCATAAACATGCAAGATTTCAGGTACGTCTTGCTACACATGCATGTAAACGTTTAAGTATATACATTAATAAGCATTTTCTTTGATTTTATCGTAATAATTCTTGTTCCTTTTACTTTTCCTTTAACATCCATGGGGAAGTGGAATAAGAATCTTTCCTCCCTAAGCCATGCGTGTTACAAAAGTCAACCAAAACGTCGGGAACAATGGGCTGGTAACCCCTTTTCCGGTACAGCTTACGAAAATGAAAAAGAAGAAAACCGTCAAAGTGGGATTTTTGAATGTGCGTGGATGTTGTGCGAATGATAAGAAAGAGATGATTGTGGATGTTATGAATGAGAAGAAACTGGATGTCCTGGCATTAAGTGATACAAAGTTGAATGGGGTGGGAGAGTTTCAGTGGGGAGAAATAAATGGGATTAGGTCAGGGGTTTCTAATAGTTAGAGCTAAGGAATGAGTAGCAATAATATTGAAGGATAAGTTATGGCAGGAAAAGAAGAAATACAAATGTATAAATTCAAGAATTATGTGGAGTAACATAAGGGTTGGATATGAGAATTGGATTATAGTAAGAGTTTATGAACCTGGAGAAGAGAGAGCGAGAGAGAGAGAGAGAGAGAGAGGAGAGAGAAGAGAGAGAGAGAGAGAGAGAGAGAGAGAAAAGAGAGAGAGAGAGAGAGAAGAGAGAGAGAGAAGAGAGAGAGAGAGAAAAGAGAGAGAGAGAGAGAAGAGAGAGGGGAGAGAGAAAGAGAGAGGGAGAGGGGAGAGAGAGAGATTGATTTTGGGAAATGTTGAGTGACTGCATGGGGAGTTTTGACCCAAGTGAGAGAATACAAGTGGTTAGGGATCTCAATGCTAAAAAAAATGTTGTAGAGGGAGAAGTAGGTAAATTTGGGGTGCCAGGGGTAAATGAACAATGGTGAGCCTTTAATTGAACTATGTGTAGAAAGAAGTTTTGCAATAATTAATTTATATTTTATGAAAAAGAGGATAAATAAATATACAAGGTATGATATAGCACATAATGAAAGTAGTTTGTTAGATTATGTATTGGTGGATAAAATGTTGATGGGTAGGCTTCAGGATGTATATGTTTACATATCGGGTCATTATCTAAATGTAGTTACAGTTAGGGTAAGAGGTAGATCGGATAAAAAGAAAATGGCAACAGTAAGTAAGAGAGAGGTGAAAGTTTATAAACTAAGGATGGAGGGAGTTAGGGTGAGATATAAGCTACTATTGGCAGAAAGGTGGGTTAGTACAAGTATGGGTAGTGGGGAGGTTGAAGAGGGATGGGATACTTTTAAAAATGCAGTATTAGAATGTTGGGGCAAACGTTTGTGGCTATAGGAGGTTGGGTGCAGGAGGAAAGGTAAGTGATTGGTGGAAGATGAGGTAAAGGGTGCGATAACGAGAAAAAGATCCCTTATAGAATTTTTACGAGTAAAATTAAAAAAGGGCCCGATATATGAAGGTAAAAGAAAGGTGAAAAAGTTGAGAGAAGAAAAAGAGAGCAAATGAAAAGGGGACAGGGTCAAAAATTTTTGCGAAAATAAGAAAAAAATAACTGCAGTGAGATATGCATTAAGAAAGCCGGGGAACAAGGGGTTTTATAAAGGAGATGGGAGGACTGGGTAGAGGCGGGAATATTTGACGAACTTTAAAATGCGATGAAAAAAGGGAGACAGTAATTTAAAGCACGGGCCCAGGGGGGTATAACAACTTTTAGGAGTGAAGAAGAACAGATATAGTGGGGGGGGTGCGAAAGGGTTACGTAATTGAAAGGGGGTAAACAGCTGTAACTATGGGATCAGACAAAAATGTTAAAAGCAGCGGGGATATAGTGTTGGGAAAGTGGTTCGTTTTTTTTATTTAATAAACCCATAAAAAAGGGAAGGGTACCATGGACGGCAGAGAGCGTGTAAAATTTCCCTTACAAAAAGGAAGGGGGACAAAAAGTTTGTAAAAATTATGGGGGAATAAGTTTAAACTGAATATACCAGGTAAAGTTAGGGCATTATTATTATTAAAGGGTTTAGGGAAGACGAAAGATGGATTGCAAATGAGCAAGGGAGCCTAGAATGGTGGGGGATGTGAAAGGGCGGGTTTTTACTTTGAGCAGATATGGAACTATCATCAACATATCGAACCATTTAGCTCTTTTGGGGAGGATTGTGTTAAGCAGCCTTTTTTCAAAAAACCATGTAAGGTTACAAAGAACGGTGAAAGAGATTTCCCATTGCCATACCAACTTCTGATGAAAATTATCTTTAAAAACAAATTTTCTTCAACAATGCAAAATTTAAATTTTAATGATAGTAGGAAGGAAGGGGAAATCAAATTTAACGATTCTTCAGTAAAAACTGTTATGTTTATTAAGTTTTTTCTGAAAAAACTCTTTAAATTTTATGATTTACCATGCCAGTTCCTACTTCAAAACTTTTTAAAGCTTTGCATTTTTTGATAAAAAAATTTTGTATTTAATGATAAGTTTTAACCCCTAAAAGAAATTCGGTTGGCAATGGAAAACCCTCTTCACCTGTTCTTAGTAACCTATAATGGAATTTTTTAAAAAAGGCTGCTTAAACCCAAAACCTCCCAAAAAGGCTAATGGTTGATATTTTGATAAAATTTTTGTGTTTTTTCCCAAAAATGTAGATATACCCCATTTCCTTGGAAATTAAAATAGTTAGCCCATTCTAAAATTTTACTGTTGAATTTGAAGAAAAACTCATTGCCTTTTCTAGATTTTTTTAATTAAAGGGAATTTATTTCAAATTTAAAATTTACAAAAAACCCTACAAATAACTGTTCCAATAACTATTATTTTCCCATCAAGAAGAGTTAAACGTCTGTTTTCTCTAAATGTTTTTGAGAGTTTTACAAATTTTAGCCAGAGTTCATAGATGAGGAAATATCCAAAATTTAAAATGGGTAATGATTTGAAAAACTCAAGAAATGTAATTGAAAAATTTTTTAAAAAATTTGCTAGAAATATTTTTTTACAATCCAAAAGGGGACAACCCACCTTTTTCACTAAAAATATGGGTTCCACTACCAGAAAACTCGGTTGATATCCTTCTTTTCTTAAGACTTTTTAATATTAAATTTTTAATTCAAAAATCTTGATCAGTAAAAAAACTTTTGATAAAAAATTTCCCCCCCAAAATGCTGATGATGTTTTAATAAATTCCTTTAAAATTTACGATAAAGTTTTTTACGGTAAACTGTAAAAATCTCGAACAAGATTAAAAAAACAAAAAATATACATTAAAACGAACAAGATTAAAATCTTTTTTATTCTGTAAGAGATTTTAAACCCATCCAATTGTTTTTCAAAAATTTGAGAAAAAAATTTAAATAAATTGAATCTCGTATATAATTGAATTTGTTTCAAAAAAAGCAGTTTTGACAATAATAAATTTTTCCCTTTGGGTTTTTTTAAAATTGATCCATTTATAATTAATAAATTTGGGGAAAATTTAATAATACATTGGACAAATAATTTTTTTTAAATTTTTATTTTGGTAAATATTTTGTTGGTGTGTTGTTGAAGCCCGTTAGTTGGGGCGGCGGGCCTGCTGTCTCGCTTCGGGTTTTTTCGTTGTTGTGGATCTGTAGGGGGGTGTGGGTACCCCTTTTTATATCCCTTCCTTTTGTGTTTAAAAGAGGGGTTTGAAAATGTGGTAGTCACGAAAGCGTTTGGAACTTCCTTTCTTTCACGGGGTTTTTTTGCATATTATTTTTTATTATCACACGGGCCGTTCCCCCAAAGGCAGGGGGGCCCGAAAAAAAAAACTTTCACCATCTTCACTCCATCATGTCTTTCCAAAGGGCTTTACTCTACGTTTTTAAACTGCAAATTTAAAACCCCCTTTCAGGTGCAGGGACTGTACTTCCCATCTCCGGGCCAAGTCCGGCTGCCGGGTTTTTTTCCCGAACCCCTTCTAAATGTTACTTTGCTCACACTCCAAAAACGTCAAATATTAAAAAACCCTTTGTCTCCATTCACTCCCATCAAACCGCTCATGATACCTCGGAAAATTCCAAGCCCCTCGCAACAAAACCCCCTTTTCCCCCTCTCTCCAACCCTTTTCCCAGCCGACCCCCTACCCCACCTTCCCTTCCCCTAAGACGGAAAACCCTTGAAGTCATTCTGTTCACTCCCTTCTCTCTACATGTCCGAACCACCTCAACAACCCTTTCACCCTCTGGACAAACATTTTGGTAATCCCGCACCTCCTCCAACTTCCAAAATACGAATTCTCTGCATTATATTCACACCCCAAATTGCCCCCAGACATGAATCTCCACTGCTCCCGCCTTCCCCTCGCTGCAACTTCATCACCCATGCTTCACACCCATATAAACGTTGGTAAAACTAACCTTTAACTTTTCCCCCCTTTGCCCCCAAGGAAAAAGTTCTTTGTCTCCCCAACTCCTAAGTGCACCCCTCACTCTTTTCCCTCATCAAATTTTATGATTCACCTATCTTTCATAGACCCCCCGCGACACGTCCCTCCCCCCAAAAAAATTAAAACATTACCTCCCCAAATCTCTCCCCCAATTGATATTCAATCTTTCTCCCAATCTTTTTTTATCCTCATAACCTTACGATTTATATATATATATATATATATATATTAAATTATATATAAATTTATATTTATATATAATATTTAAAAAATTTTCGTCCGAATAGGCAATTGCGATCTTTGGCCTTAAATAGCAAAGTCATCTTGCCATATGCCAAGTGAAAAATTTTTTTTGCAATATTTCGCCCAAAAACATTCTGAACCAACGATAAAAAAAAATTTTTTTGATTGTGTTTGTTTATACTAAATTATTGTAAAATATTTAAAATATATTTAGTTTGGTTTTGGCTAAAATAAATTTCTTTTGTTAAAATGGGAGGTAAGTTTTTTAAGTTCTTTTATTGCAAAATTAAAAAAATTTTTTTATTTACATGAATGAAAAATATATCTTTAAACGTTAAGAGAAAATTTTGAAAGGACCAATTTTAAATCGTCTTGCTAATTGACCAGTTTTTTTCTATTCGGCAGACTATTATATTATTATTTTTATATATATATATATATAAAATATAATATATTATATTTTATATTTATATAATATATTAAAAATAATTATATATATAAAATTATATATAAATAAAAATTTATATATAATATATATATATACACTGAACTAGCCAGGACGGAAACCCCTACGGTTTTTGGGCCCCCACATGTGGCGAAAATACATAGGGGTTTTACCCAAGGGTCTTCGACCCCACAAGAATCAGGCACCCAACTGAGCAATGGGTTTTTCCCTGATCAGAGGACATCGGGGTGTGGGTGTCTGTGCTAATTTCATTCTTTCCCCCTTGGTTACTAGCCTTTCAATCAGCAATATATTATTGTAAGCACGAACGATGGGTATTTAAAAATAAAGAGACTGGGCAGCTGGACAGATGGGGAAGTAGGTCATTCCCAAACATTTTTTTAGCAGAAAGTTCTCTCTAGGGGAGGATTGATACCTAAAATTCGGTATTTCTCACGGTTTTTAATATTAAATCATCTTTGATTCTACTTGAAAAATTTTGTGCAGGAGAAACTTTTTTGCAATATATTCCCAATGTAAAGTGTGTCATAGTATCAATTTTCGGTGTTGTATCAAAAAAGTAAGATACTTGTAAGAACGCAAAATGGGTTAGACATTTTTATTTAAAAATTTCATTTTTAATTAAAAATTCAATAAAATATAAGCTTTTTTAAAAAAAAATTGTGCACTTTACAGAGTTATTTAATTACCAAAATTAACAATAAATGAGTGTAACTGAGTCTTTATTCCCGTGTTTGCTGAATTTTCAATGAGCAATTAATATTTAATGTTTTTAATCCTCTTTACATAGCAAGGGTTTTGTTTAACTCACTTTTTGGTCTCTAAGAACGAAATATTTTTACAAAAAAGAGTAAATAAAAATTTTAATCAGCTTACATTTCTGAATTGATAATACTTTTAAAAAAAAGCTTTGAGTAATACATAACAGATTCTTAGATTGAGTTACTAAGCAGCATTCAAATGTATTACAATAAATAAATTTGGGTGTGTCCCTCTTTTCTGTCAGGAGGTAAAATATTTTTTTTAAAATACGATTACACTTCATTGCACTCACGACTCAGGAAATCGTAATGACACGTTTGTAAACAAACCATACCACTGGTATGGTTTGTTTGCAATCGTGTACCACTGATATGGTTTGTTTGCAATCGTGTCATTAAGATTTCGTGAGTCATGTTGACGGCTTTGAGGGGACTTAAGCTAGAGTTCGTCACGGCCACGCTAGCTGGAAATTCGTCTGTAAAACTTGCATTTGTGGTCATAGTGGTGCCTATGTTAACCTTCCTATGGTGTATAAATATACCTAGCTGGATGAGTCTTATTGTGGCTAGCTGGCCCAGTGGCTAAAGCGTCGGTCTGGGGTTTTATGACTTTCTGTTTGCGGGTTCTAGCCCCGCCCGTGGTATGGATTGCACTCACCTCTGTCATGACCATCCTCATCATTCCGGTCCATGAGCCGTTACCAAGCTTAGAGCCCCAGACTCCATCAGGAGGTCGGACGTTAGAGTAACTGGTGAAACAATTAATAATTTTACAATTCATTATACATAGATAATCATTTATATACTTATTTTTGCCTGGGTGTTGGTGTTATTAGCAACTGTTTCCTACTTTGCTCAAATCCTAGTTCTTTTTTCCTCACCTTGGTCTAGGTCCATTCATCCCCGATGAATTGGCCTAGTGTATGTGTATGAGTATATTTGACAATTATGAGGTCTTTTTCCTAGTTGACAGGTTCAGGTCTATTAGTCTTCATAATTAAGCCGTGACATCATTCTCTCTTTGAAGGTCTACAGATTTATAGTTTTCCTTCTTCATGAGTGTGGCAAACGCCAAGTGCACTACAATTTATTCGGCGACGTTCACCGCGTAGACAGCAGCCTGAGTGGACGTTCAGTCAAATCTCCAACTTTTCCGAGTGTAGTTTGCCTGTGTGCACATTTACCACGGAATTGAGGAAACTAGTAAACACAATTGGCATTGAACTTCGGAAGGGAGCTGTAATGCCTCATGTGTCCAACGTGCTGCTGCCCACCATATTTAGGGACACACATGGAATTGCTGATGGAGATCTCTATGATTTAGCGATGAATAGGGCGGCACGATTGTAAAGTTACTCTCTGCCGAGGTGTTTGACTACATGTTTAACAAATATCAGAATGTAGTGATAGTGGCGAATGAAGACGTCAGAGTGCACAAATTCGTGATGTTCCTTTTGCGGCACACGAAACTTACATGTGTTCAATCGGTTTGGCAAGATACATGCGACACAGCTAGGTATATGGGTGCATGGAGTGTACACTGGTTTACCTCAGGGGAAACATACTCTCTCAAAATGTTTTTAAAGTAGCCATTTCCTCCTTTTTCATCCTGCCAGATTTCGGATCGCAGGTGATGGTGTCCTATGCAGGGCTGAGATGAACTTTTAAAACTTGTGAAGGATACTACCATATGGCTGTGGAGAATCCTTGCTGGAAGATGCAAGAGTGGGCCTAGTTCATCATCATCGGGGAAGGAGCAAGTTCCCAGGTCATGGGGTATGCGTCGCTCCTATGAGGGCCCAGAGACAACGGACGTCGCCTTGGAGAGTTATGTAGTGGTGGACGTGGAGACCCCTGCTCAAGCCGAGGAGCCCATCCCTGTGTTAAAGGGGGAGGCTGGTGTACACATGGACTTGGAGGCTGCTCAAATGGGTGACGAACTAAAGTGTTAATGGAATTTTTATCCCTCCCAAGGGAAAAGAGATTGTTCGGTGATTGAGTAGGGGCCAGAGGCTCAAGTGTGTGAAGTGGAGGCACTGGAGTCCGCGAGAACTTCCATTGCATCTGTGCTGATCGTGGAATCTGAGAGTATGTGATGTGAAGGTGCATCAGGCTGCATCGATTGCAATCTCCGAGGTGAAGGAGTCCAGTATCTGGTAACGGGCACCAGCATCGGAATCTAATGATGTATTAACCTCGGCACAAAGGCAGTCCGGTAAGAAGTCCAGGGCAGAAATGACCAGAGGTACTGGAGGTGTGATGGGTTAAGTCGATTAGAACCATTAGACCCAAATCACCAGAAAAACTTATGACCAACTGCGGCGCAAGTAATAAGGGCTATAACAACAACGTAAGGAGTCGAGACTGCTGGAAGAGAAACCCTTCCAACATTCCTACTGTATGTTTAAAAGCTGGTGTGGCCCTCATTGTCGAGAAGTCATGTCTGTTAGTGTATCATCGTAGTGAAAACGGTGGAGATGGTCTCATTATGCAGGTGGAGTGAGAGTGGCAGGACTGCTTTGCGGATGGCACTGTCAGGGTTAGAAATAATTTAATAAGGAAAGATTTTAGAATTTTTTCTTAAATTTTTGCCAACATTAGCCTTTGAACGGGGGAACTTGAATTGTGTAGTTTGGATGAAGGATGTATCCCCCAGAGGCGTGGGTCATTATTCTCCAGTTTTAAGCGAGATGTTACGTGATGTGCCATCACAATTGTGAGGAAGGATTATGGATCGAGATAGGGCAGAAATTCTGTTAAATAACCTGTAACATTGTGTTCAGTACGGTTTTTTAGATCGTCGGACAATTCTAACAGAGGTGGGGTGGGATTCATAGGCGGTGCAGCGTAGACGTCACTGGAAATTGAATCCTTGGCTCTTAGAAGACGAGAAAGCGGTAGCGGATTTTGAGAGCTGTTGGGAAAGTGATAACGGGCTGGTGTAGTGATGGTGGTGGGACGAGGTAGCAAAACGGGCGGTCCGTAAGTTTTCTGTAGGGAAAGGTAGGAGGCTAAATATTATGCGATGTGGGTTATTGAATAATTAAAAGGATAGACTACATCACTGTCATTTTTTTTCGCACGAAAAAAAATAAAAGGTTAGAAGGTTATAATCAGGGGGCTCTCATAATGAGCGGGATGATACTGTGCGGATATAGGCGGCAGTGGAGGAGGCGTTAGAGGGAGACAAACCCTCTGCGTGTGTGTTACGTGAACAGCAACAGCGGAGGCAAGCGAATACTATATCAAGAAGTGCATTGTAATATGGAAGGCTTCAGGCCTGCAAACCACTGATGCAATGAGCGTTTTTGTGGACAGGTGGAATGAGATTTTTGGGAGAAAGTGGAGAATTGGGCTGTGGCTTACGTTTGTATGGGAATTTTGTGTAAACTTAATTTAGGATAATGATAGGATTGAGTCAAGGGGAGTTATTGAAGAGGAGGAAATCTGTAGGGCATTGGCAGCAATGGCTAAGTGTAAATCTTCAGGGCTTGATGGAATACCAGTAGAATTCTATGTCAAGCATTGGGAGTTATGGAGGGGGATTTTTGGTGCACAAGAGCACGATAAAATAGGTCGTTGTGCTCATCCTAAAGGAAAGAAAAGCTGTTAGTAATCCGTGAGCATCATTCTATTTCGCCTTTGTGTGCGAATTATAAAATCTTTCGTAAGGTGTTGGGAAATCGTCTAAAGAGTGTCGTGGGATGTGTCGTCACACTGGGTCGTTATGGTATTCCGAGGAGATTCGTGTTAGCGTGCCATTCCGTTATAGATGATTTTATGAGTGCAATGGAAGAGAAAGGAATGAGGGATGCATTATTCGCCTTGATTGGAAGGGTGCGTAGTGTTCCGCAGAGAGGGACACTTTGCATAGAATAATACTTAAACAGGGTTTTAGGGAGGAACCTAACGAAAAAAATATATTTCATTGTGCTTATTATTAAATTATTGTAAACTTATCTAAAATATATTTAGCTGAATTTGTCTAAATTAAATTGCGCTTGTTATAATAAGGTTAGGTAAGTTTTCTAAGGTTCTTTTGGCACAAGATTAATATTTTCTGCATTAACATAAATTAAAAAAAAATATATCCTTAAACGTATAAGAGAAAATTTTAGAAAGAACCTAATTTTAAATGAATTCTTGTTAACTGACCAGCTTTACCTATTCCGCACGACATTATATATATATATATATATATATATATATATATATTATATATATATATATATATATATATATATATATATATATATATATATATATATACATATATATATATATATATATTATATATATATATATATATATATTATATATATATGTATATATATATATATATATATATATATATATATATATTATATTATATATATATATATATATAATATAATATATATATATATATATATATATATAATGTGTGTATTATGCTAGTGCTGATTACTTTCTCATAAACTAGGGAAATATAAAAGTAGTCAATTAAGTGTAATTTTCACAGATAACATTGTTTAGCCATATTATTACGGTACGTTGGAATGATGTATATATGTCTTATGCATATATAGTTTAAATATACTGCTAATATTGATTATGCTTGAAAAGACTTCAGATGTTATGTATATAAAATTTTAAATTAACCAAAAAATAGGTGTTTATCACACACACATTAGTGCATATCCTGTAGACAAACTCACAGTCAGGTTACAACACTTAGTTTGCAATATGTGTCCCACAGTTATTTTTTCTGTTCAGTTTTAATGCCAACCAATTGAGGGTGACAGCTGGCACTTAACAAAATTGAACTTATGCTTCCTGACCTGGTTGGGAAAAACGCATAGTGTTGAGTTTTACATATTGCACATACATAGATGAAAGGAACACAGGCAAAAAAAAAAAAAAAAAAAGGCACTTCACGTTTGACTTTGCTAAAGTTTACCTGGATAGGTGTCTCTGACTTCAGTTATTTTGCACTCAATCTAGTGGTTATAAAACAATATCTTAACACTGAGTTCAGTACTTGACGATTTGGTTTTATTTCCAGCCTCAATGATGTCTTCCATCATTTGAATCTAATAATTCTCTAGGAGTTGTTTTAAATTTGATTTCTATTTTTTCGTTTGAAATTTGGTTTCTTTTTTCATATAATATCTTAGAACTGTTCTCCATATTACCCGTCGTAAGTTTGTACAGAAAAACTTCGATGTTTCATTTGCCAGTTGTGAGTGTGGGGGAAGTTCGTGAGGCAGTAGGTAAAATGAAAGGGGGTAAGGCAGCCGGGATTGATGGGATAAAGATAGAAATGTTAAAAGCAGGTGGGGATATAGTTTTGGAGTGGTTGGTGCAATTATTTAATAAATGTATGGAAGAGGGTAAGGTACCTAGGGATTGGCAGAGAGGATGCATAGTTCCTTTGTATAAAGGCAAAGGGGACAAAAGAGAGTGCAAAAATTATAGGGGGATAAGTCTGCTGAGTATGCCTGGTAAAGTGTATGGTAGAGTTTTTATTGAAAGAATTAAGAGTAAGACGGAGAATAGGATAGCAGATGAACAAGGAGGCTTTAGGAAAGGTAGGGGGTGTGTGGACCAGGTGTTTACAGTGAAACATATAAGTGAACAGTATTTAGATAAGGCTAAAGAGGTCTTTGTGGTATTTATGTATTTGGAAAAGGCGTATGACAGGGTGGATAGGGGGGCAATGTGGCAGATGTTGCAAGTGTATGGTGTAGGAGATAGGTTACTGAAAGCAGTGAAGAGTTTTTACGAGGATAGTGAGGCTCAAGTTAGAGTATGTAGGAAAGAGGGAAATTGTTTCCAGTAAAAGTAGCCTTAGACAAGGATGTGTGATGTCACCGTGGTTGTTTAATATATTTATAGATGGGGTTGTAAGAGAAGTAAATGCGAGGGTCTTGGCAAGAGGCGTGGAGTTAAAAGATAAAGAATCACACACAAAGTGGGAGTTGTCACAGCTGCTCTTTGCTGAAGACACTGTGCTCTTGGGAGATTCTGAAGAGAAGTTGCAGAGATTGGTGGATAAATTTGGTAGGGTGTGCAAAAGAAGAAAATTAAAGGTGAATACAGGAAAGAGTAAGGTTATGAGGATAACAAAAAGATTAGGTGATGAAAGATTGAATATCAGATTGGAGGGAGAGAGTATGGAGGAGGTGAATGTATTCAGATATTTGGGAGTGGACGTGTCAGCGGATGGGTCTATGAAAGATGAGGTGAATCATAGAATTGATGAGGGGAAAAAGGAGTGGTGCACTTAGGAGTCTGTGGATACAAAGAACTTTGTCCTTGGAGGCAAAGAGGGGAATGTATGAGAGTATAGTTTTACCAACGCTCTTATATGGGTGTGAGGCCATGGGTGATGAATGTTGCAGCGAGGAGAAGGCTGGAGGCAGTGGAGATGTCATGTCTGAGGGCAATGTGTGGTGTGAATATAATGCAGAGAATTCGTAGTTTGGAAGTTAGGAGGAGGTGCGGGATTACCAAAACTGTTGTCCAGAGGGCTGAGGAAGGGTTGTTGAGGTGGTTCGGACATGTAGAGAGAATGGAGCGAAACAGAATGACTTCAAGAGTGTATCAGTCTGTAGTGGAAGGAAGGCGGGGTAGGGGTCGGCCTAGGAAAGGTTGGAGAGAGGGGGTAAAGGAGGTTTTGTGTGCGAGGGGCTTGGACTTCCAGCAGGCATGCGTGAGCGTGTTTGATAGGAGTGAATGGAGACAAATGGTTTTTAATACTTGACGTGCTGTTGGAGTGTGAGCAAAGTAACATTTATGAAGGGGCTCAGGGAAACCGCCAGGCCGGACTTGAGTCCTGGAGATGGGAAGTACAGTGCCTGCACTCTGAAGGAGGGGTGTTAATGTTGCAGTTTAAAAACTGTAATGTAAAGCACCCTTCTGGCAAGACAGTGATGGAGTGAATGATGGTGAAAGTTTTTCTTTTTCGGGCCACCCTGCCCTGGTGGGAATCGGCCAGTGTGATAAAAAAAAAAATAAAAATTTCACGATTTTCAGTAATTTTTGTCTTTATACTTTTGTGTTTAGTGACCTTATACCATAAGTAAAAAATTTTATTTTACATGTCTTCATATTTGTGCTCTTGTGTTTGTATGGATATGTTTTTGAGTGTATGTGTATATGTTTGTGTATATATATATATATATATATATATATATATATATATATATATATATATATATATATATATATTATATATATATATATATATATATATATATATATATATATATATATATATATATATATAATATGAAACTTATATTTTAAGAACAAACAAATTATTGTGAAGTTCAAACTTACGAGAAGTTGAGAGCTTCAGCCAGATAGTCCAGCAGGTCCCCCATGGGTCCTCCGAAGTGAAATATCTGTTTCCCAGGAGTCACAGGATCATCAGTTATTATCATCCTATGAAATGGACTCTCCTCTGACGCCGCCAGTAAATGAGGCTGGTGAACGAATCTGTAGTATTGAAAATTTATAGTAGAAATTTCGTTGTGTTAAATATTTAGAATAGAATTGAGGGCCAATTACTTATTGCATTCATAGAAACCTTCACTTTAATCTGATGTGCGGATTTCACTTTAATTATTATAAGAAAGAGAAACGCTCCAAAATCTTGGCATTGTTCTTGAGATCGTCGTGTTTATGTAGCCACATATATTGAAGAAAATTACTTCAAATGCTGAGACTGTCCGTGAAATACAATAGCTAATCTAATACAAACCAGTCGAAAACAGAAAGACGTTATTATTAGACGATTAATCCTCTGACATCACTGCAGTTTGAATCCACACTAGGAATTCCCTCACACACTTATATGGAAAGATCCTCACAGGTGGACATCATCACTTCCCAGAAATTTCTCTATATACCTTCAGATGATACACGGCAAATAATAATTCTTGGACTGCATGCAATGGGGAGATATTAAACGAGAGAATAAACTTAAGAGTCTCTGTCAAGTGTTTTAACCTACACCAAACACTAGTATCCTTCAAGACAGGAAATAACTGAGATAGTTTGGCTTGTGTTTTAACCTACCCAAGATACAAGCATCCTAAAGGGTAAGAAATCACAGTGATTGTTTACTTTGTTTTCCATCCTTTATCAGACACTACCATTCCTCTAGGTGAGAAATAAGAATGATTATTTTGTGTTTTAACCTTCTCAAGCCACATACATCCCGGGTAGAAGAGTTGAACTGAACGTTATAATTTCCATTTTTCCCATTACCTGTAGTCTGACTTTCCCACATGGACTTACTTGGAGAATTTTTCAGGAAAAAGAGGGAGATGAGAGGTAAGAAGGAGACCTCGCTGGGGCGTCCAGTAGCCCACTCGTAATGGTAGCGTTTCTTGGGGACTGAATGGCAAATGTACGTACATATTGCACCTGTAATGATAATACTGAGTAGTATTACACACACACACACATACACAACACACACACACACACACACACACACACACACACACACACACACACACACCACACACACACACACACACACACACACACACACACACACACACATATTATATATATATATATATATATATATATATATATATATATATATATATATATATATATATAAATATATATATATATATATATATTATATATATATATATATATATATATATATATATATATTATATATATATATATATATATATATATGTCGTGCCGAATAACGTAAATCTGGTCAATTAGCAAGAACTCATTTAAATTTAAGTCCTATCTAAAATTTTCTCTTATACGTTTAAAGATATATTTTTTTCATTAATGTTAATGTAAAAATTTATAATTTTGCACCAAAAGAACCTTAGAAAACTTACCTAACCTTATTATAACTAGAACAATTTATTTTAGCATAATCCAACTAAATATACTTTAGATTTGTTTACAATAATTTAATACTAAACAAACACAGTGAAATATATCTTTTTTCGTTGGATTCAGAATGATTTTGGGGAAATTATTGCATACACAAATTTTCACTTGTCCTATATGGCAAGATGAGCGTTGCTATTTAAGCCAAGATCGCAAGTTCTGCCTATTCGGCACGACATATATATTATATATATATATATATATATATATATATTTATTTTTTTTTTTTTTTTTATTATCACACCGGCCGATTCCCACCAAGGCAGGGTGGCCCGAAAAAGAAAAAACTTTCACCATCATTTCACTCCATCACTGTCTTGCCAGAAGGGTGCTTTACACTACAGTTTTTAAACTGCAACATTAACACCCCTCTTCAGAGTGCAGGCACTGTACTTCCCATCTCAGGACTCAAGTCCGGCTGCCGGTTTCCCTGAATCCCTTCATAAATGTTACTTTGCTCACACTCCAACAGCACGTTCAAGTATTAAAAACCATTTGTCTCCATTCACTCCTATCAAACACGCTCACGCATGCTGCTGGAAGTCCAAGCCCTCGCACACAAAACCTCCTTTACCCCTCCTCCAACCCTTCCTAGGCCGACCCCTACCCCGCTTCCTTCCACTACAGACTGATACACTCTTGAAGTCATTCTGTTTCGCTCCATTCTCTTACATGTCCGAACCACCTCAACAACCCTTCCCCAGCCCTCTGGACAACAGTTTTGGTAATCCCCCACCTCCTCCTAACTTCCAAACTACGAATTCTCTGCATTATATTCACACCACACATTGCCCTCAGACATGACATCTCCACTGCCTCCCGCCTTCTCCTCGCTGCAACATTCATCACCACGCTTCACACCCATATAAGAGCGTTGGTAAAACTATACTCTCATACATTCCCCTCTTTGCCTCCAAGGACAAAGTTCTTTGTCTCCACAGACTCCTAAGTGCACCACTCACTCTTTTTCCCTCATCAAATTCTATGATTCACCTCATCTTTCATATGACCCATCTGCTGACACGTCCACTCCAAATATCTGAATACGTTCACCTCCTCATACTCTCTCCCTCCAATCTGATATTCAATCTTTCATCACCTAATCTTTTTGTTATCCTCATAACCTTACTCTTTCCTGTATTCACCTTTAATTTTCTTCTTTTGCAACACCTACCAAATTCATCCACCAATCTCTGCAACTTCTCTTCAGAATCTCCCAAGAGCACAGTGTCATCAGCAAAGAGCAGCTGTGACAACTCCACTTTGTGTGTGATTCTTTATCTTTTAACTCCACGCCTCTTGCCAAGACCCTCGCATTTACTTCTCTTACAACCCCATCTATAAATATATTAAACAACCACGGTGACATCACACATCCTTGTCTAAGGCCTACTTTTACTGGGAAAAAATTTCCCTCTTTCCTACATACTCTAACTTGAGCCTCACTATCCTCGTAAAAACTCTTCACTGCTTTCAGTAACCTACTCCTACACCATACACTTGCAACATCTGCCACATTGCCCCCCTATCCACCCTGTCATACGCCTTTTCCAAATCCATAAATGCCACAAAGACCTCTTTAGCCTTATCTAAATACTGTTCACTTATATGTTTCACTGTAAACACCTGGTCCACACACCCCCTACCTTTCCTAAAGCCTCCTTGTTCATCTGCTATCCTATTCTCCGTCTTACTCTTAATTCTTTCAATTATAACTCTACCATACACTTTACCAGGTACACTCAACAGACTTATCCCCCTATAATTTTTGCACTCTCTTTTATCCCCTTTGCCTTTATACAAAGGAACTATGCATGCTCTCTGCCAATCCCTAGGTACCTTACCTTCTTCCATACATTTATTAAATAATTGCACCAACCACTCCAAAACTATATCCCCACCTGCTTTTAACATTTCTATCTTTATCCCATCAATCCCGGCTGCCTTACCCCCTTTCATTTTACTACTGCCTCACGAACTTCCCCCACACTCACAACTGGCTCTTCCTCACTCTACAAGATGTTATTCCTCCTTGCCCTATACACGAAATCACAGCTTCCCTATCTTCATCAACATTTAACAATTCCTCAAAATATTCCTTCCATCTTCCCAATACCTCTAACTCTCCATTTAATAACTCTCCTCTCCTATTTTTAACTGACAAATCCATTTGTTCTCTAGGCTTTCTTAACTTGTTAATCTCACTCCAAAACTTTTTCTTATTTTCAACAAAATTTGTTGATAACATCTCACCCACTCTCTCATTTGCTCTCTTTTTACATTGCTTCACCACTCTCTTATATATATATATATATATATATATATATATATAATATATGTGTGTATATATATATGTATATATATATATACATACATATATATCGTTCCGAATAGGCAGAACTTGCGATCATGGCTTAAATAGCAACGCTCATCTTGCCATATAGGACAAGCGAAAATTTGTGTATGCAATAATTTCGCCAAAATCATTCTGAACCTAACGAAAACAATACATTTCACTGTATTTGTTTGGTATTAAATTACTGTAAAGAAATCTAAAATATATTTAGCTCGGTTAGGCTAAAATAAATTGTTCTTGTTATAATAAGGTTAGGAAAGTTTTCTAAGATTCTTTGGAGCAAAATTAAAATTTTTTACATTAACATTAATGAAAAAAATATATCTTTAAACGTATAAGAGAAAATTTTAGAAAAGACTTAATTTTAAATGAGTTCTTGCTAATTGATCAGTTTTACATATTCGGCACGACAATTATATATATATATATATATTATTTATATATATATATATATATATATATATATATATATTATTATTATATAATTATATATATATATATTTATATTATATATAGAGAGAGAGAGAGAGATGAGAGAGAGAGGAGAGAGAGAGAGAGAGAACCGACATCGGTTCTCTAGATTAAAGATGCAGCAGCAGGATCAGAAGCAATGCACGATGCTCCTCTGCTGTCCGCCGTTTCCATTCTGAAGTGAAGTTCACGCAGCTAACACTCTAAACTAGACAGGTCCTTCACACAACCCACCAACAAACTATTCTACCCAAGAATTAAGAATTTTAAAATTTATTATTTGTCCAATGTATTATTAAATTCTTCCCAAATTCTATTAATTATAAATGGATCTAATTTACATAAACTAAAGGAAATATTCATATTATTGTCAAAACTGCTTTTTATGTAACAAGATTCAATTATATTCCTGTCGACCATGGACTTGTTTGATACTACTTTCTCAACTTTTTGAAAATCAATTGGATGGTTATAATCTCTCACTTGAATAAATAGAGTATTGGAATCTTGTCCAGTTCTAATGCTATATTTATGTTGTTTTAATCTTATTTCGAAACTTTTACGAGTTTGACCATAATAAACTTTATCGCAAATTTGACAAGGAATCTTATAGACACATCCATCAGCATTTTGGGGGGAATTCTTTATCAAAAGTTTTTTTTAAGGTAACAAGATTTTTAAATACAAGATTTTTAAATACAACTTTAATATTAAATGTCTTAAGAAGAGAAGGCATATCAACCAAGTTTTCATGGTAAGGGAGAACCAACATATTTTTAGTTGAATAAGGCTGGTTGTCCCTTTTTGGATTGTAAAAAGTATTTCTAGCAATTTTAAAAGATTTATCAATTACGTTTCTTGGGTATTTCAAATCATTACCTATTTCATAAATTTTGGATATTTCGTCATTTATGAACTCTGGACTACAAATACGTAAAGCTCTCAAAAACATTGATGAGAATAGAGACACTTTAACTCCATCTTGATGTGAAGAATAATAGTGGACATAGGAACAGTTATTTTGGGTTTTCTGTAAATTTTAAATTTGAATTCATTATTACCCTTAATAATTAAAACATCTAGAAAAGGCAATGAGTTATTTTCTTCAAACTCAACAGTAAAGTTTATAGAATGGGCTAAGCTATTTAATTTGCCGAGGAATTGATGTGTATCTACATTCTTGGGCATATGCCCAAAAATGTAGATATACATCCCGAATATGTGGATGCATTCAATTCTTCCACAGTCTTATCTAAATTCTGACTCACTAAATCATATTAACACTGTTGCAAATGAATCACCAGACGGGTTAATCTCAAACACATTGTTAGAAGGTACAAAATCTCACAAGCCGAGTGGTTTGCTCACTGTCCTGTGAGTTTTAGAACTCGCTTGCCATGAGTTCTTGCTCCAACCGTTCCATAATTTACCTTAAGCCTGCTTGGCTATCGGTGATGATGAGCAGCATTTCATTCATCTTGGAGAGAGAGGTGTAGTAGGACTGGAGGTGCGCTAATGTTAGTCGGGTGACAGTGAGGAGCCTCGTCGACCACACCGCCAGCCGACCCTTCAGGGACCACTTCACGAACGAACCCACGAATTCGAGTTCATCGCTTATCACAACAATTGTAGTGTATGATGAGAGTTGACGTATCTATCGGAATAAAGTCCCATTTCATTGTGTGGAAGGATAATTTTGTGATGTGATTTACAACTTAATCCTAAAGACTTGTTTCCTAAACCCCATTTTTTAATTAAATTAAAATATAAAGGCATTATCACAGAGTAACATCCACGTGACACCTATTGATATTACACAGATTTATAGTGAAAGTTGCTTAAAACTTTAACATGTGATTTTCCTATAAGGAAATGGACATGAATACATTCACTCATAAAATGTTTGACAACACTTCGGTTCTTGGTCTTTCATTATATCAAGTAATCAACGTCACCATAGAATCGTTCTCAATACAGGTGCATAAAGTACTTATATTCCTGTCCATTTTTCGGGCAGTTGTTGGTTTTTCCTGCCTCCTTATTACTTACTCTCCTAGCATGGGGGATCACTTGTGACACTTGAGTATCCGTCTTGTTGACGTCCAGGACACTCACTTCTGCCTCAAATGTCCCAACACCTGCTGGGATGTCTAGATGATCTATTATCTAAAATATACAAATTTTTCATGGAAAAAGAAGGACATTGGATCAATGGTACACTTCAATATTTGTTTAAATTTGTTCATACTAATTTATTTATGAAAGTAAAATGCTTACAGTAAATATAGTAGATGCAGAGGTGGTGCCATCTGTGAAGAAGAAAACGGAGTGACTGAACTGAGACTGGTCGGTCAGTACAGCCTTCACCAGCAACTCCACTGATGATGACTTGTGTTTACCTGATGGATGAACATGTTTGGTGTTTGCTAATGTAAAGTATAAATTTTTCTCATGCCAGTTAAAGTAACAGTCAGTTTCTTACTAGAGCTATGCTTATTATTTACATATTAGCAGAAATTTACTTGGATTCTCCAAGTTTGATTACCAGGATTAACTAATTGATGAAGTTCAGATTACAAAAGAGGAAGGAGAGATTATGCAGCCGAGTTACTTTTTAAAAATTGACAGAGTGCAGTTAATAACTCGTCACTAAACATAAATATGTTTATATTCTAAGTCACACAATATCCTTTTATGTTAATGTTAAGTGAAAAAAATCTAAGCAGAAATCATGAAAAATTAATAACTTAACAGTTTAATAAAGTTTTCCTTCCATGTAGGCGCTCATTCATTATTATTTTATTCTATTATGCTCCTTATAATGGGTAATTTCAACCACAATGAAATGGATGACTGTAACCGGGAACCACAAGGGATCTGGAAACATGAAGTGCTAAGTTGATGAAGCTAATTAGGGAAAATTTGTACGTGTCAGCATATTTAGAACTAGCAAAACAAGAGGTAATTATCACTGCAAATACACCTGGCATAGGAAAAAATTGAAAATGCGAGACCTCTAGGCACTAGTTACCATACTGCAGTAAATTTAAAGCTTCATTCGACAGAAATAAGACGACGAAAGAAGGTATGAAAAAATACCATAACAGAGTGCAGTAGAAACTGGAATTAGAGGTTGAATGTTTAAGATGGGGTATCTAGCTGGAAAGTGACAGTAGGCAGAGAACATCATACCATGCAGAAGAATGGAAATAGAATCATAAAGAGCTCTTAACTCAATGATGCAGAGAGGCAAAACTTGGAAAACTATATAAAGAAATGAAGAGGGGAAAAAGTAGTGAACTGGTTGGCCTGAAGTGAATTTGAAAAGATGAAGAAAGTGACTGAGGAGCAAAGACCAAATCTTAACCATAATTCATTCACAGTTGCATGAGATGGAAGACGACAGTAAAAGACAAAGTAATTTGACTTTGAGAGGAAGAATGAGAGTTGACGAGAGCTGTTATTTCAAAGTGTTGAATTAACAGTTCAGCCAATTAGAGTAATCGTCTCATTGGAAGCAGAGACAATTCCAGAAGACCATGAAAGTGAAAGCTAATACCTACATCATAAAACAAAGAGCTGACAAAAACACCATTACAGCTACATTTTCACATATGATACTACTCCACGCTGATTTCCTGCTCCCAGGTCAAAAGCGTATTAGATGACCTGATTCTTTCATATAATCTTCACGACTTACATACTTTTTCCTAATGTTCTCTCATGCCCTTCTATCATTTGGAGTAAATAAGGTAACAAGAACGAAACGTATTCAGTAAAAATGTGATAGGAAAAAGAAAAACTTTCACCATCATTCACTCCATCACTGTCTTGCCAGAGGTGCGCTTATACTGCAGTTATAAAACTGCAACATTAATACCCCTCCTTCAGAGTGCAGGCACCGTACTTCCCATCTCCAGGACTCAAGTCCAGGCAGCTAGTTTCCCTAAATCCTTTCATAAATGTTACCTTGCTCATAGTGTAACAGCACGTCAAGTCTCAAAAACCATTTGTCTCTATTCGCTCCTATCTAACACGCTCAAGCATGTTTGCTCGAAGTCCAAGCCCCCTCGCACACAAAAATTCCTTTACCCCCTCCCTCCAACCTTTCCTAGGCCGACCCCTACCCCGCCTTCCTTCCACTACAGACTGATACACTCTTGAAGTCATTCTGTTTCGCCCAATTCTCTCCACATGTCCGAACCACCTCAACAACCCTTCCTCAGCCCTCTGGGCAACAGTTTTGGTAATCCCTCACCTCCTCCTAACTTCCAAACTACGAATTTCTCTGCATTATATTCACACCAACACATTGCCCTCGACATGACATCTCCACTGCCTCCAGCCTTCTCCTTGCTGGCAACATTCATCACCCATGCTTCACACCCATATAAGAGCGTTGGTAAAACTATACTCTCATACATTCCCCTCTTTGCCTCCAAGGACAAAGTTCTTTGTCTCCACAGACTCCTAAGTGCACCACTTTCCCTTTTCCCCTCATCAATTCTATGATTCACCTCATCTTTCATAGACCCATCCGCTGACACGTCCACAACCAAATATCTGAATACATTCACCTCCTCCATACTCTCTCCCTCCAATCTGATATCCAATCTTTCATCACCTAATCTTTTTGTTATCCTCATAACCTTACTCTTTCCTGTATTCACTTTTAATTTTCTTCTTTTGCATACCCTACCAAATTCATCCACCAACCTCTGCAACTTCTCTTTAGAATCTCCCAAGAGCAAAGTGTCATCAGCAACGAGCAACTCTGAAAACTCCCACTTTATGTTGATTCTTTATTTTTTAAACTCCACACCCTTGCCAAACCCTCGCATTTACTTCTCTTACAACCCCATTTATAAATCATTAAACAACCACGGGGGACATCACACATCCTTGTCTAAGGCCTACTTTTACTTGGAAATAATCTCCCTCTTTCCTTCATACTCTAGCTTGAGCCCCCACATCCTCGTAAAAACTCTTCACTGCTTTCAGAAACCTAACCTCCTACACCATACACCTACACCATATATATATATATATATATAATATATATTTTATATATATATTTTATATATATATATATATATATATAAATATATAATATATAATTTATACATATATATATATATATATATATATATATATATAATATATATATAATATATTATATAAAATATATATATATATATATATATATATATATATACATATTTTTACATATATATTTTAATATATAAAATATATATATATATATATTTTATATATAATATATATATATATATATATATATTTTTATTATTATTATTATCTTATTATCACAAAAGGCCGATTCCCACAAAGGCAGGGTGGCCCGAAAAAGAAAATCTTTCACCATCATTCACTCCATCACTGTCTTGCCAGAAGGGTGCTTTACACTACAGTTTTTAAACTGCAACATTAACACCCCTCCTTCAGAGTGCAGGCACTGTACTTCCCATCTCCAGGACTCAAGTCCGGCCTGCCGGTTTCCCTGAATCCCTTCATAAATGTTACTTTGCTCACACTCCAACAGCACGTCAAGTATTAAAAACCATTTTTTCTCCATTCACTCCTATCAAAAACGCTCACGCATGCCTGCTGGAAGTCCAAGCCCCTCGCCACACAAAACCTCCTTACCCCCTCCCTCCAACCCATCCTAGGCCGACCCCTACCCCCCCTTCCTTCCACTACAGACTGATACACTCTTGAAGTCATTCTGTTTTGCTCCATTCTCTCTACATGTCCGAACCACCTCAACAACCCTTCCTCAGCCCTCTGGACAACAGTTTTGGTAATCCCGCACCTCCTCCTAAAATTCCCAAAATACGAATTCTCTGCATTATTTCACACCACACATTGCCCTCAGACATGACATCTCCACTGCCTCCCGCCTTCTCCTCGCTGCAACATTCATCACCCACGCTTCACACCCCCTATAAGAGCGTTGGTAAAACTATACTCTCATACATTCCCCTCTTTGCCTCCAAGGACACAAGTTCTTTGTCTCCACAGACTCCTAAGTGCACCACTCACTCTTTTTCCCTCATCAATTCTATGATTCACCTCATCTTTCATAGACCCATCCGCTGACACGTCCACTCCCAAATATCTGAATACGTTCACCTCCTCCATACTCTCTCCCTCCAATCTGATATTCAATCTTTCATAAACCCAATCTTTTTGTTTTTCCTCATAACCTTACTCTTTCCTGTATTCACCTTTAATTTTCTTCTTTTGCACACCCTACCAAATTCATCCCCCAATCTCTGCAGCTTCTCTTCAGAATCACCCAAGAGCACAGTGTCATCAGCAAAGAGCACTGTGACAACTCCCACTTTGTGTGTGTTCTTTATCTTTTTAAATCCACGCCTCTGCCAAGACCCTCGCATTTACTTCTTTACAACCCCATCTATAAATATATTAAACAACCACGGTGACAAACACACATCCTTGTCTAAGGCCTACTTTACTGGGAAAAAATTTCCCTCTTTCCTACATACTCTAACTTGAGCCTCACTGTCCTCGTAAAAACTCTTCACTGCTTTCAGTAACCTACCTCCCTTTACCATACACTTTCAACATCTGCCACATTGCCCCCCTATCCACCCTGTCATACGCTTTTCCAAATCCATAAATGCCACAAAGCCTCTTTAGCCTTATCTAAATACTGTTCACTTATATGTTTCACTGTAAAAACCTGGTCCACACACCCCCTACCTTTCCTAAAGCCTCCTTGTTCATCTGCTATCCTATTCTCCGTCTTACTCTTAATTCTTTTAATTATAACTCTACCATACACTTTACCAGGTACACTCAACAGACTTATCCCCCTATAATTTTTGCACTCTCTTTATCCCCTTTGCCTTTATACAAAGAAAATATGCATGCTCTCTGCCAAACCCCAGGTACCTTACCCTCTTCCATACATTTATTTAAATAATTCACCAACCACTCCAAACTATATCCCCACCTGCTTTTAACATTTTTATCTTTTTTCCCCTCAATCCCGGCTGCCTTACCCCCTTTCATTTTACCTACTGCCTCACGAACTTCCCCCACACTCACAACTGGCTCTTCCTCACTCCTACAAGATGTTATCCCCCTTGCCCTATACACGAAATCACAGCTTCCCTATCTTCATATATATATATATTATATATATATATATATAATATATTATATATATATATATATATATATATTATATATATATAATATATATATATAAAATAATATATATAAGTCGTGCCGAATACGTAAAACTGGTCAATTAGTAAGAACTCATTTAAAATAAAGTCTTTTCTAAAATTTTCTCTTATACGTTTAAAGATATATTTTTTCAATAATATTGATGTAAAAATTTATAATTTTG